ACCAGCGACCCCCGTGACCCAAAATGGAATAAGCGGGTAAAGATAATGGATGGATAATAGAGCAGCTCAGTAGCAGCAAATCTTGTACTGACCTTTTGAAACTGTAACTGAGAACGTAATCTAAACAGAAAAACAAAAACTAAACTGTTTTGTATCGCCATACAAAACCTAGCAGAAACAGATCAATGTGCTTTATTTATTCAGAACTTAAGTTTTTTTCATGTCACATCATAAACACACTAAAAGATAACTATTTTTATTTAATTATGACCCAACTAGTAAAAGGTTTGCAGTGATCCTCGAGTGGTAAAAAGTTTAACTTTGCCTTGGCTGGACAGATTTCATAAAAGTCTTGCCTTAGCACATTTTCAAATAATTGTTACCAACATTGGCAGAGCAGAAAAAGTTCTCAAAGGCTGAGTCGGGACACGTTGGGCTGGGTGTGGTTCTGACGGGGCTTCACACCTGCAGTGATGAGAACTTCTTTTTGGAAACTACATGCTAGAAACTGACTGAGCTGCCATACTGTTGGTGCATTTTGCATTTATATTAATCTAAAAGTGTGTCAAGTGTCACAAGTTCTGGTTTATGACTCGACTGCATCACCTGCACAACAGCACACAAGAAGAAAGTATCTTGTTTTACAGTAGATTTTTCTTTGTCAGCAGAAAAAGGCTTCGGTTGACAGAACTCATTGAACTGACCAAAACTCGTTAGTCATCCTTATATGAAAGGAAACTGATTTAGATGTTCAGGAACCACCGAGCCTCAAGCCAGTCGTGAACTGCAGTTACCCAGTCCACAGTGAGACCAGTTTCACATCAACATGGACCAACAATGATACTCCTTTAAATTCAACGTACCAGACAAGTGTCTGCCTAAGAGATCGTCTTATGGATGGATGGGACAAAGTTTAAGTTGTTTGACAAGAAGTTTGAGTCAAGAGCACTGAAACAACTGGCAAACAAGGTACTGTACTGGTAGCATCATACTGGGAACTTCACTTCAAATCATCAAGCTCGAAACTTGGACACAATTGGACGTTCTAAGAGGACGATGACAGAACATCATGGTTTCTTATTGGATAAATCCAGCTAACTCTAAACTTCAAGAATGGCCATTATTAAGCCCAGACATCAACCCGATTAAAAATAAGAATAAAAAAGTGGACTGTTTCCAAGACATCTGCTATGGAAAACCAACCAATTTACATAAACCAGTATGTCTACCACTTCTGCTAAAAAGAGGGATCCAGTACTAGCTAGAAAAGAGTCAGACGTTTGTTGATGGATACAAAAAACCTGTGGTCCAGGAGCAACTTGTAAGGGGTGGGGTCAGAGTTGAGCCTGTATGTATAATTTTAAGCCTACCGTATTTTTCAGTCTATAAGTCGCAGTTTAGAAGCATAATTTACATGCCCTGCAACTTATACACCGAAGCAACTTATTTATGTTTTTTCCCATATATATAAACCAATTTTTGCCTGAGATATGACCGTTTTCATTCATTTTGACATTGAAAATATTTTCAGCTGCTAGATGGCACTCAAGTTGTATGGCATGCTTTTGTATCATGCAATAGGTAAAAGTGGCTATAAATGACACAATCAGCTGGCCAAAGCTGCCACCTTTGTCCAGCTCGCCTGGAGCAACCGTCAAATTAGCTGCATTTCGCCGCCCCGGCGAAATGCAGCTAATTTGACCATTAAAGCCCTTTTATTAAGGAAAAGTTCGACTGAGACACACCTTTAGTATAATGTCGAGCAAACAAATAATTGCTTTTAAGTGTTAATTTTGTTAAATTCTTCAAGACATCTCGTGCACGCTCCTGTGGCCGCCATTTGACAGCCAATCGATTTTTGGCACAACACCGGCCCACATTTACGGGTTGTCAGCGGTGACACATAATAGATGCGACTTATACAGCGAAGCGACGTGTACGATGGAAAATACGTTACTTGGATTACAGAAAAAAGTACCATTTAGGATATTTAGCTGAGACGAGCTGGTCTGGGAAGCTCAGTCCTCACCTCCTGTGCTCCAGCATCAACGTGTGGCATGGAGGCTGCACAGCTGCAGAAAGAAAAGCTTTGCAGAGAGTGGTGAAGGCTGCACAGAAGACTGTTGGAGTCAGCCTCCCCACCATCACAGACATCTACACCTCCAGATGCAGGAAGAGGGCCACCTGCATCATGAAGGACCCCACTCACCCAGCACACACACTTTTTGCCCCGCTCCCCTCAGGAAGGAGGTCGAGGAGCATTAAGTGTAGAACCACTAGACTGAGGAACAGCTTCTACCCTGAAGCCGTTAAGACTCACGAATATCTAATCAGAATAATCTTATCTTAGATCCTTGTATACCATTTTTCTATAGTTTATATTTTTGCTATTTTTGGGTGTAACTGTGACCTTGAGTACATAATTTCGTCCCACCTTATGTACCACATGTGATGAGAATGACAATAAAGAACCTTGAACATTTTTTGCTAACACAAAAAAATACTATTGCCTGCATTGTGTAAAGTGTAGTTGTCTTAGCAGCTGTACGAACTTTATTTCTTCATTTTTATCAGTCTGATGGCGTCATCTCAAACGTCGTGTGAGACGTTGGATCCAGATGTGGAGTCTGAGGTGAACAACAGCATCTGTCCACCAGGTGCACAGATGCTTTCTTTAAAGAGTCAGAGCTGAAACGGTTGAAATGCCAAAATATATTCCTGGCATCAGCTCTTGGCCGTCGCTGCGCTCAGCAGGGCTCTTCTTCAACTTGTAAAAGATATTAATTCATTCAACCTTTATTTCTACAGGTAAATCCCACTGAGCCTCGAGGACTCATTTACAAGAGACCTGATTTCAACAAAGAGTGATGACAACAATGGACAATAGCGGCAACAATAAACAGTTATAAAAAGTCATACAATTTTTTTTTAACAAATAGAATGGCTAAAAAAAGAAAAGTTAAAAAAAAAAAAGAAAAGTAACAAGAAACAGCTAGATTCTAAGGCGAATGTAGAAAACTAAAAACAGGAGCATGTCTGCGTTGGTCCCTGCCAGGAGTCCAGCAGATTCTTGAAGCCACTTAGAGGTCAAGGTCGAGAGCTTCAGATCTTTTTGTAAGATATTCCAACAAACAGGAGCGGAGTAGGAGAAGGTCCTTTTGCCTAGTTCAGTCCTCACTGAGGGAACACTGCAGGTAATAATGTTCTGAGAGCGCACGCTGTAGCTGCACTCACGCAGAGACATGTAGGAGGAGATGCATGAAGGCAACAGACCAAGAAGTGATTTAAAGATGAAAATGTACCAGTGAGAGAGTCTGCGTGAAGTTAATGATGTCCAGTTAACCAGTGAATACAGTGTGCAGTGGTGGGTACGATAATCACAGCCAGTTATGAATCTTAGTGCACCATGATAGACAGCATCCAACATCTGCAGAGTTCTTGTAGGAGCGTTCATGTAAATAATGTCACCATAATCAATGGAGGGAAGGAAAGTCACAGAAACATGACGTTTTCTAGCATTCAGGGTTTGACAGGATCTGTTTCTGAAAAAGAAACCCAGTTTAACTTTCAGTTTCTTTACCAAGTTTTCCACATGGAGCTTAAAAGAGAGATGTGAGTCGACCAAGATACCCAAATATTTATAGGAATCAACAAACTCAACGGGGACACCATTTGAGGATGAGATCAGAGGAAGAACTGCTGGGACCGACTTCCTACTTGAAAAAAGCATCAATTTGCATCAATGTAAACGCATTGAAAAAGATCAGTGTGTGCAGAGACAGAAGCAACTGGTGGGACAAAAAACATAAATCCAACTGAAAAGGCATCTTAACCCTTTATTCACTTTCCTATCAATACATATGTACAAGTGTAAAAATAAAGAGACATAAAAATCGTTCCACGGTGTCACAAACAGAAAAAATGATGACAAACGTAAGTACGACAACGCCTGACGAGAACTATGGATAAAATAAAAACATTTGTTTTTTTTTTAATGAGCGGCTTTCTCCATATGTGCAGTGATGTAACAAAACAATTTGTCCTTTTACACATTTCCTCTGCTTTGCTTTTTGTCACATTTTGACTTTCAGATCAGCAAACTTTTCAAATTATGATTTTATTTATTAAAAAACTATTTTCAAACCAGACCTGCAGAACCATCATCTACAAGTTGTGGTGGACTCAGAACGACTGACTCATCAGGAGGACCCATAACAGCTTATAATGCTCTGAAGGCCTCGCCGCTTCGGGTCAGAGTTACTGAATTCAAAAGCTATACAGCTGCTCAACCCCCCCCCCACACACACACACACAAAGACCTGTTACGTTTGCCAAAAACATCTGGATGAGCCACAGAATTCTGGTAAATATTCTGTGGACTGAGACAAACATGGATCGTTTTGAACATCATCGTTACATCTGGTGTTAACTATAATAAGACCATTGTACCCACAGTCAAACACGGCGGAGGCAGTGTGATGGTCTGGGGCTGCCACTCATTGTAACCGATAGAACCATGAACGCTGCTCTCTACCAGAAAGTCCTGAATGAGACGTGGACCATCACTTAAGATGAACAGCTGGGTTCTACAGGCACGAGACAAACGTCTTACAAGTTCTCCAAACGATTGAAGGCAGCTGCGTCGGTGCACGACGACAGCCGACCCACTCATCAGAGTTAGGGCTCATTACTTTGTCACCAAGTTGGAACGGATAAATGAAATAATTAAAACTATTGCATTTTCTGACGTCGTCTTTGACAAAAAGCAGAAACAAATTAAAGGTGTAAGAGGGCCAACACTTCTACACTGCTCTATTTATTGTAAATGTATAAAAAGTTTTGAAGTGGATCTACACGCAGGACGTTTGGAGATTCTTAAAATGTCTGTTTTTTCAATGCGAGGGTGCAGACGGAGATCCAGAGATATATGACAGCTGAGGGAGCTGTCAGGGTCCACAGCACCAACGTGGAGCGTCCAACAGTGTGTCCTCTCTCTGTCTCACTTGTCCAGCATCAACTCAGGTCTTCGTGCAGGCCAGTCTCAGACCAAACTCCTCTGTCCGTTCCTCACTGCTTTGCCTTCTTCAGGATGGTGCCCACTGCAGAGATGACCGTGGTCTTGGTACCGCTTGCTGTGGTCGTCACGGAGACGACAGCTGGGAGGGTGGCTGAGGTGGTGATGAGGGTGGGCTGGGACAGAGTGACGGGGATCGCAGAGTCCCACTTGCTTTTCCTCTTCTGAGCATCTGCTGGTGAGAGGAAAGGCAGAGGGGAGGACTGGGTGAGCTCAGCTGAACAAGTGGGGTCAGATCTGCTTCATTTATTACGAGACAACAGGAAAAATGTCTGTGATCAGGACGTCAGGCTAGAAAGAAGTACTGAAACAAAGCGCACAAATAACAAGAGCACCACAAACAGCACATTACACACCCATCAACACACAGCAATCTGTGGTAATGGCCTGAAAAAGCACAGAGTGTGTATAAACTTTGACCTTCATTTGTGACCTGGACCGTAGACTTGGAGTGATGATTATGTGACATGTTCTCTCTAGTTATGGTACAAATATGTATCGAGTTTTGTTAAAATAATAATAATCTTGAGCGGATCATAAGTTACGCTCCGGAGAAGCAAATACCTTGGATAACCTTTGACCTTGATTTGTGACCATGACCCCACAGCTGGGGTGATGAAAAGTATACTTCATACTCCATCTAGTGATGATGCATTTGTGTATCATGTTTCATCAAATTATCTTGAGTGGATAAGAAGCATGACTAGAGAAAGTTTACGTATGGATGGACCTAGGCCTGTCACAATAACAAATTTTGCTGGCCGATTAATTGTCTCAGAAATTATTGTGATAAATGATATTGTTTGACATTTGACAATAATTAGTAATTATTGTCAAATTTAAGAAGAAATGTTGGTAAATTTATTTTGAGTGTAGTACCATTTTTGACCACTGGATGGCAGTATAAGGCGGTTTGAAACGATGGATGGATAGTGAGGGAGTGAGCAGCGTGTCTCTTTTAAGATAAATGGGAGGGAGACCCCTTGACGTGACATGGGCTGTCTCTCTTTGGTTCTCAAAATGGCGAACGCTCGGTGTGGTTTGAAATCTTTAGCATAGCATTTTTCACACAAAGCTTTTAATTAAAAAACTCAGTAAACAAGTTCTCAGCTTCTTTTTGCAGAGAAAAACAACTTTTTACATGAAGGCACAGGTTTCAACTGTGAATTTTGGAGCTTTGACACACAGTTCAAAAGCCTGTCTCTCTGATAGTATGGGGGTGCATTTGTGCCAATACATGGGTATACACATCTGTAAAGGCATCATCATCACAGCAAGGAATATAGAAGTTTTAGAACATCACCTGCTTCCATCCAGATGCCTTTTACTGGGAAAGTCTTGTATATTTCAGCAAGACACTGCTAAACCACAGACAGCAGCCATTACAACGACAGGGCTTCATTGAAGACGACTCCGGGTGCTGAAGTGACCCGGGACCCTCTCTTAGTCCAGACCTCTCACCATTTGCCACCAAATACACCAGTAAAGTAAATCTGAACGAGGCAGAAGTTTACCTGTAGCTGTGGTGGTGCTGGTGCTGCTGGTGGTGGAGGCGGTCGTGCTGGAAGGGTTGGTGCCCTTCTTGGTTCCCGTGACAAACTCAATCTGAAGAACAAACACGTTAAAACTTTAAATTCCAGCTAGAGCGGAACAAACAAGAAGAGTGAGGAAACAATCTCTTGAGTCTAATGTAAAATGAAACTATTGTAATTTCCGGACTACAAGCCGCTACTTTTTTCACACCGCAGTTTATACAACGCTTCAGCTAATTTATGTTTTTATTTATTTTATTTTTTGACAGGCTACCAAGCTTCCTGCCGCCAAAACATTTAACTTCGTCACACCCAGGCGTTTACATAGCTGCCAAGTACACATCTCTCTTGGGGGGCTGGTCCTCGAGACTTTCTTTTAATGTTCATCACGGACAGAGTGAACTCCACAGGTCTTCATGACAACTACCTCCTCCCTCGTGGTTACTCTACTGAATGGTCCAACACAAACTAACACATGATGAACACATAAACTAGGCTAACAAGAACAGACTAATCACTAAAAGATCAATGCTAAACAGCTAACTGAAACAATTAACAATGAACAGAAATTTTACCCATAATCCCTCCCTGAGGCCATGTGACCGGCAGTCAACCACAATGAACCACAGAATGGTACAATATGTACCAGTAACATACAAATACATACAGTAATTTTTTTTTTTTCTGAACATTGCCCCTAACACGGCTGGTTAAAAAAAAATAAAAAATACAGTATCCTAGTAGTCATTGATCACCAACTTCATCTTCCTCCTGCTCTGCAGAGCAAAAGTTGCTCTGTGACATGCAAGGGAATCCCCCCTTCCTGTCCTCCCCTCCCAGTTTCATTGGTCCACTGTGACTTGTTAATTTTATTGGTCAGATTTTATTTTAAAACTTTATTTATACAGGTAGTCTCACTGAGTCACGAGGACCCATCCCCCAAGAGATGCATGTTTTGGGCAGCTATGCGAGTGCCCGGGTGTGACAAGGCCAAATATTTTTGGTGGCAAAAAGCTTGTTAGCCTGTCAAAAAAAACAAAAACAAAACATAAATTAGCCACAGCGTTGTAGAAGCCGCGAGGTTCACAGCGTGTGAAAAAAGTAGCAGCTTATAGACCGCAAAGTACGATGATTAAAGGTTTAAAAAATCTTTCTGTGTAAATATCTTGTTACAACATTGACACCCGCAGCTTATAGAGAAGTACGACCTATATATGCACAATTTTTTATGGGTTTTGTGTGTGTGCGTGTGTGTGTGGGGCTTATATTCAGGTGCACTCAATAGAAATAGAAATTACGGTACAGTATTTGAGAAAAACTTGCTGCTTGCTGAACCTCGAGTGTTTTCACAGCGAATCATTTAAACATCCCCTCCTCTCAGAGATACAGTTTAAACTTGTTTCAACATCTGAACCGTTGACGCTGATGCAGATCAAGGCAGCATGAATCAGACAAATAACCACACGTGTTCCCTGGAGACAAGTCACCCCACCCCCCACACCCCACTCATACAGACATTCTGTTTCTCTGAAATCAGTTCAGCTGTGCAGTCAGGAGCTGACTGATGAACGTCTACTGGAAAAGTTAATTTTATTTACTGGTGTGTATTTATTTTATGCAGAACGTGTAAAAACTTGGTGGTTTGGATTTGGTTCTTCTAACATTAAAAGAGAAGTGAAGTGCGGCTGGTGCAGAAAAGATAAGTCAAACCTCTGTTTTGTTAGCCTCACCTTGGTGCGCTCCTTCTTGGCCTTTTCCAGCTTGTCCATCTCCACCTTTTGGGCTTTGGCTAGGACAGAACACATTTATGAGATCTGAGCTGTAACTGGCATAACAAGAGAACAGCACAGTATACGCCAGTGGACAAACCATTATACAGCAACCTATAACCATGACCTGGACAAGCAAAGAGCTTCTATAACATTTGACCTTGATTTGTGACCTTGAAGTGTATGTGACACTCCTTGTAGCGATAATACGTATGTGTACAAAGTTTCATTAAAGCCTTGAGCGGATCAGACGTTCTGGTCGGGACAATACAAAGAGAAAAAGAATAAATGATCGTACCAAGAGCCTCATAGTAGGAGTCTTCTGACCAGCCATGAGGGTCAAACATGTCTTTAGGATAGTTTGTTCCCAGCTCGTCGATTCCACAGAACTGAATAAGTTTCTCGTAAATACTGAAAAAACAAAACAAAAAAACAAGTTATATGAGACAATTAAGACACCAGCGTACACTTTGAGGACAGATAAAATCAGCGTTCTTGTTTGATTTTCTTTCTACCAAAGAGTCCGAGTGGTGTTTGAGAAACTGACAGCTTGTGTGTGAGCGTGCTCTCCTGCGTTGTTCAGCCGAGCTGCATACCTCGGGTTTCTAAACTCTTTCTTCATCTGGATGTGGCTGTTTGTGTCAAAGTCTCCGTGGAGCTTCCTCTCGTACAGTTTGGAGATCTTGTCCTGGTACAAAAACAAACCGATGAGCAGGATGCAAAGAAGCCAACAGGTCTGCCGTGACTTCACGTTGAACTTGGCAGAATTTAACGTCGCCGTTATCAAACGGCTACAGCTGTGAGCAGGTGGTGCTCGGAGTGAATGGGGCTCTTGTTTCATACATTTCTGATACCTCTTAGAAACATTTGACAACCAGGTTCAACTGAGCCACAGGGAGGACGTTTCCAAACTGATATGTGAGTGCTAGCTCTGGTCAAATTGCATGACTGCTGAGATAAATAAAAATATAAAAAAGTAATTGACACATGTCTGTGTTCTTCCTTCATAACTACAGTATATTCAGGCAGTTCAGGTCGGACAAAAAACGCATTTATGATCCTCAGAAACACGTGATCCAAGTTTAAATAGTATCTTCTGGAGCTCATGCTAAAAATCTTTTACAACACCAAATGCTACAGCAGTGCAGCACAGCGGTGAGGACTATTTCATGAAAAATGATGGTAATGTTGTCAACTCTGACAGCTTGGAATGGTCTTCGAGTCAATATTTGAACATGGCGGCGGTCGGCTTCCTGCGTTGATGCTTTACGTTTGTGTACACGACACAAACAGGTCAGGACATGAGCTGGTATAATCAGAAAAAAAACAAGTTGACAAACATGGCAGCATATTCTTTTTCAATGATAAAGTGCATGTGAACAGCCCGAAACAGGCGTGTTTCAAGAAATAGACTCCACCAAAGAGCTTTGGAATAAAAACACCAACATTTTCTAAATGACAGAAGCAGCAGATGGAACTTCAGTCTGATAATATAACCCCCGGGGCGGCTGTGGCTGAGTGGTTAGAGCAGTCGTCCTCCAATGTGAGAGTTGGGGGTTCAAATCCACCAGTAGTCACATGCTGAAGTGTCCCTGGGCAAGACACTGAACCCCTCATAGCCTCTGATGTGTGTCCCATCAGTGTATGAATGTGATCTAAAGCTCTGATTAGTCTCTTTAGAATGATTTGTTCAATTAGCTTTGTAGAGATCTAGTAGAGTTCTGTATGAATGGGTAAATGAGGACACAGATTGTAGGGTAAAGTGCTTTGAGTGTCTTGAAATAAGATAGAAAGGCGCTAAATAAGTACAGTCCATTTACCATTTACCGTCTTCTAGTTTTGGTGTTTGTGGTGCATGAGCGTTAAGGGCTGGCTGGATGTTTCAAGAATTACACCGCTGCACTGACAGTCATATGATGCGGTGCTGAAGTGACATGTAAACAAAGAGGCTAGGCTATAGAGAAGAAACCGGTATAATATCCAAACAGTAAGAACATGGAAAATTGTAATGCAACAGTGATAACTACGGTAAACAAGTTTTATAAAAAATAAAAAACTTATCTTGAGAAATTTTTCCGACAATGGTGCACGAGGTATCATGATTTGTTAGCTATAACCCAACCCATACATTGGTAGGCCGATACTTTAGGCCAATATAGATGTTTGGGGACCTATCGTACTGGTGATAATTGTCCCATTATGCGCCGATATAAGTACTTCTAATTTTCAACTCTAAAATGCTGGAACCAGCTGTAATTGTACAATGTATGCAGCAGAGGGTGCATGGGGGCCGAGATGGTGTAGAGGCAGGGCAGCCGGCTTGGGACCCGAAAGTCCCAGGTTCGATGCCCGGTCACTGCACACCTTGTGGTGTCTCTGTGCAGCACACCTCATTCCCCAAATGCCCCCCCGGCACTTTCAATAGCTGCCTACTGCACCACCTGGTGGTGGATGAGTTAAATGCAGAGACTAATTTTGCCATTGTATGGAAACATACAGTGCTGACATTATTATTATTATTATTATGAAGAAGACTACTTTCAAGTCATGGCCGTTCACTTAATTTCACTTTCAGCACAGCTGGAGAAGCGAGCAATACTGTGTAGAGCAGTGGTCCTCAACCCCCGGGCCGCGGACCGGTACCGGTCCGTGGGTCAATGGGTACCGGGGCGCAAAGAAGGGGAAAAAAGTTTTATTTTGAAAAATCACCGGATTCTCTCTACCACATCAGTCTATGACTCACTCTTGATGCAGGTCAACATACACAAGTGGTTAGTTTCAGTTTCTGCTAGGCGCATGTGCAATGCTGGTGAAGAACAAAGCAATTCAGTTATGTGGTCTAGAGCAGACGGGTGGAGGTGCGCAGCCGTATCTGTGCATTTTAAAGGATTACACTCCATATTTTTCAACCTGCCTGACAAAGATTGACTATAAAACTATAACTAAATAAAAGTATAATTTTAACAAGCTTCCCAATATCACATCAGAGCTGTCGCTTCACATTTTTTCTTCTGCTCAAAAAAATCTCTGCCCCTAAAAGTTCAAAGTCATGGGTAGTTTTATTATAAAACACAAAAATATAATTAAACGTTTTGCACTAGGCATAAGTTCCTGTGCTTTTGTGAACAATGTGATGTGTGAATCACTGCAGGAGTTCTCTGAACTTTCACCGAACTGATGAAACAGACCATGATTTCAGCTCATGAAGCTGTTTGTCGTGCAGTCAGAGAATTTGAAGCGAAAAATGTTTTAAATGTTTGTAAAATACACCAGAATGCAGGAAATGGCTCTACTTTATTCAAAATTCTGTTGAGGAGGACCGCCAGACCCCCCCCCCCCCCCCGTGAAAATATTGTCTGACATCAAACGTGGCGCAATAAAGGTTGGGACCACTGGTGTAGAGTGTTTTACTGAACAGAGCATGTTAAGTTTATTTTAACTGATCTGTAAAACAAATCATCAATAATTCACTGTTGTCCATTGTTGTCATCACTCTTTGTTGAAATCAGGTCTCTCTTGTAAATGAGTCCTCGAGGCTCAATGGGATTTACCTGTCTAATTAAAGGTTGATTGAAAAATAATAAATTCTCTTCAACCTGTCAACTCGCTTGTCATTAGCTACGTGCCTCTCAAGTTAGCAAGCTAACATTTAGATAACCTTGTATAGGCTATTGGTTTGTAAAGTTTTATCCAGAACAATAAATCTAACTAAGTTAAAATATATAAGTGTTGGTAACGTTATCTTTGTTGTCCTCAATGAAATGCATTGTTTGTCTGAAATTACTTCTCTGCAAAGAAAAATAAACTCTGCTGTGGTCAGAACTAACTAGACCTTCGCCATACGTGACTGACTGTTAATAAACAATGAACAGGGAGGGTGTTTCTTTGTTTAATGTAATTTTTTTTAACACACTTAACTTTATGGTGAATAGTGGAGGATAGAAAATGTGAACGCACGTTAGGAAGACTGGTTTTATGACCAGAGCACCACTTGTAAACCTAGTATGGGTCTAATTAAAGTGTGGATCTGATTAGCTTCATGGTTGCTAACAGCTGCACTAAATAAACAAGCCCCACTCTACTCCGTTTTCTTACGATTCTTGGGGGTGAATAAAGCTAAAAAAAAAAAAAATAATTCAGCCATTATATCAGTTATCGCTGGGCTCTCCCAATATCGGTATCGGCGATAGCCAAAATTTCCATACTGGTCCGGCTCTACTGTTAGGGAGGCTTTACTTTATTGGGCAGCTGTGGCTGAGTGGTTAGAGCAGTCGTCTTCCAATGCAAGAGTTGGGAGTTCAAATCCACCAGTAGTCACATGCTGAAGTGTCCCTGGGCAAGACACTGAACCCCTCATTGCCTCTGACGTGTGTCCCATCAGTTTATGAATGTGATAAAGCACTGATTAGTCGTTGTAGAGATCTAGTAGAGTGCTGTATGAATGTGTAAATGAGGCACAGATTGTAATGTAAAGCGCTTTGAGTATCTTGATAAGATAGAAAGGTGATATATAAGTACAGTCCATTTACCATTTACTGTCATCACAGGCTCACAGCATGGTGAGTTCAGGCACACTTCTACAGTGAAGAACAATAAAGCAGAACACTCTGATGCTTAATGAGAAGAATGATTACCACAGAGGAACTTAAGAAGCTTTTTAATCAAAGATTATCAATCAGTCTGGCTTGAGGAACACAAAGAACAATGGGTCAGAGCTGCCTTCATTCAACTGAGAGCAAAGTTGAAAAAAGGTTTTCAGCACAGCAGGAAAATAAACTCCTGACGACTGGGTTAGAGTGAAGTGCCGAGAGGACAAAAAGCTTATTTGTTGTTGATTGTGTACAATTTACTATTCAATTACCTTTAAGGAACTATAATCTACGAGGTCTAATGTAAATAGGGCAAATAATTAGTAATGATGCAATTAATACGTTTAGCTTTTGAATGCACATTACATTACACTACATTACTTCTTTTAACTGAGTAAAACTTTTATCTGCATCTATTTTCAGGCAACAAAGGATTCCTACAAGCTCAGCTCACACTCCACTACCGACATTCAACCGTTACTCTGATTTTCCAGTTGTTGCTCCACCAGACGTACACAATGAGAAGCAGAGTTCTTTGATAAAGCTGGACACTTCAGCGAGCTGGCAGCCAAGTGGATGTTTTAATCTCAAGTTCAGGGCATGACTGGACAAGACAAAGCCTTCATAAAGTGGAGATATGTTTCGTAATGGTGGTTTGATGAAGGTAAATGGGAAGTTTGTAGCCAAAACCTAACAGTTGTGCAACCCTCCTGGAACCATACTGACATTGGCTCCTGCCACAGTGACCTTAGGGCATGGACGTCAAGCTTGTTCTGGTGAAGTGAATCATCTGTTGTTCATCTGACAGGTAGAGGAGTGTCAGCCTTCAGGCATCCTCTTAGAGTCAGCTGTGAGTCCTGACCTGCCTTAACTCCTCGAAAGAAAAACCTTAGTGAACTTTAACATCGTGGTGGAAAAACAGAAGAGCAGCAGTGGAGGTAATAAAACTCTGACAGAGGATGATGCTCTGATTAAAGGGTGGAACCTCAAAATTTATGTAACCACCTAAGTTTATGTCTTAAGCGAGGGGCTAAGCTATCCATTTGGTATAGATGAGGTTGGAGTGTACGCAGACACTTCAACCAGAAACTCCTATGTTAGATTACTAACTTGAAGCTAGAACACGTTCCCCCAGGACCGAGTGACATGTCCTCATCTTTAATTTAGATGAAAAGTTGGTGTTCTGCAAATAAACAAGCCCAAAGGCACAAAAAGTCTATAAACCCTCATAAAGCAGCCTCAGCCAGACACACCCTTTTCTCCGATTTGATTAACAGACATAACTGTGGCTTCGGCTGTCATATAAATTTCACTCAGACAGCAGCAGCAGTAGGGTGGTGTTCAAGGTGTGACTCCTGTCATATTCGTGTGGTTCAACATTCAACATGAGGGGAGTGTACCTGCAGTTGTCTCGAGCAGCGTCCTGGAGGCTCGGGGGGGATCCTGATTTTGTCAGGCGACATGTTCCTCACCTTCTCGGAGAACAGAGCTGTCAACACAAACACAAACATTACTGCTACGTTTTCTGCCTCAGCAGCATCACCTCTCTGCATGGCCACACACGCAGACGCATCAACTAAAGAAAGCACCGTTTTACCAAGATACTGAAACAAAAAGAGCCAGGGAAACAAATGGGGGGACATGGGAATGCAGTGTTAGCTCAGGTAATGAAATGAGACATAACTAACACTGCTGGGGGATTTCCTGTGCACCCTGGTTGTTAAGTACAGGTTTGGAAGTGCGGTGTGGTATGAGGAGAGCACATCCCTGCCTGGGAGTGGCTGTTGTTGGGGCTTGCAGGGAGAAGGGAGGCTCCTTTCCCTCCTTTTGGACCAGGTTCTTGTTTTTCTCTCCTTGCATGACTCGTCTCCTTCTGTTTTCCCTGACTGCAGGCCAGGCATTCTTCAGTGTCACTCCTATAGCTCAGTCAGACCGATCATGTTTACTCCAGCTCTGGGCTGTCAGTCACTGTGGGGAGCTAGTGGATCAGTAGAAGAAGAAACTCCAGTCCCTGCTAAAGCTCAGTGAACACCAAGAATGGGTTTAAACTTGACTTGAGATGAAAAGATAATTCCTCCACCCCTTCCCAATAGTTTATTTGGTCTCCGCTGAACAATTCATCTTACAAAACGTTGGATGAAAATTCTACCACCACATAAACCCTTCAATTACAACAACTTTCACTTCAGAATGAAAAGGAAATGCAGGCAATGTAACGTTTCCTGCATTTATCCCTCGCTGACGAACGCTGAGAGGTGGGAGAAATGGTTTTGTCCATGTGGGGGTGTTTTTATTTGTCCGTTAGCAAAATGTCAAAAATCACTGAATGGATTTAAATCAAGTTCTTAAAAATAATCACTGGATGTATGCCAGTTGAGTACCTTTAGGAGCAAACCCAATTCAAGATGGCCACACCCCCAGCTAATTGACTTCAGCAAAAAGAAAACACCATAATTCAACTGAATTTACAAAAATTGTGCTAAAATCCTTTTTGGTAGAGATGTTTGTCATTCAGTTCTTGTCTTTACATATTTGTACTGATGTATTTTACCCTGAGTGCTTTACTTATTTGTTTCTGCTGTACAGCACTTTGGTTGGCCTTGTTGCTGTTTTAATTGTTTTATTAATAAAGTGGTATGGTAAAATGTCTGAAATGTTTAGAAAAAAAGTGGTTATGGTCTCCCGCATTCAGCGGGACAGGGTGTTGGTTTTGCTGAGCATAGAAAAACGTAACACCAAGCAACATCTTGCTTTATGCATATTTTATATTTTCTGTGTGTAAATGCTAACAAATACATGGATAGATAAGCAATAATGCTCCTGTAATAATTAATTTATCTGATATTTAGATTACATTTTTTTAAACTGTAGCCTCCAACAATAACAGTAAGCGTGACACGACGAGTCTGATGACACGTAACTTGGTGGTAGCCTGGAATTTCAAAAACACACAAACATTTTGTTTAAGATGTTTTTACAGTGTGTTTAAAACAAAGTTTTAGCATTATGGAAGTCTGTTCATCCACTTTAAACAATCAGAGATTTACTCTTGATATCTTTGTAGCCTTGTTGAACTAACCATCAAAATACACTCTGGCCTCACTTTAACAGGAGGAGTAAATAAATTTAGAGCCCGAAAAATCTATCTTTAAAATTCAGAACAGTGCAGAAGGAATGTCCTCAAACAGGATTAGCACATTCTGAGAGAATAAAACCATAAAAAGCAGACGGAGAAAAGATTGTAGTTTATTTCCAAATTATCATCTCTCCCCCTAAAAAAGACAGGGAGCTATGGTCTGTGCCCTGAGGGACTTTTTGAACAGGCAGACAATGGCCATCCCTTCAGTGAACAAAGAACAGCTTTCAGATTGCTGAGGCTTGTTGCCAGATGCAGTGACATTTACTGACAGACGAGACAGAAGAGCTTCACCACGAGAAGATTCAGAGGTCCAGACTCAGACTGTGTTACACCGAGGCTAAAGACACTGATTTATGGCAGAGGTGCGAGTCGTGTACCTCACAAGTCAAGGGGCTGTGATGTAATACAATTATCAATGCATTTTAATGATCTCAAAACATAAATGTGTATAGTTTATTTTACATAAACAAACACATATTTACAGATATTCATGCTTGACAGAATGTGCCAATGTCCCATCGCTGAGGGATTTGAATAATGAATGTCTTTAGTTTGAGATAAGTGTGTTCCTGAACTGGAATTGAACAGGGAATGCAAGTAAACCTTAATGTTTTTGGAACATTTAAGTGTGTAGGAGTTACACTACGTGACAGAACAGAGAGAGGTTTTTTTTTTTTATCTTAAGAAGAAGCGAGGGGAGGCAGTTATTTTATCCACTATTAGGTGTAATGGAGGAGCCAGGGGTGGACAATGGTGGCCTTGGCCACCACAGATAAATCTTTGGCCACCCCAGTCATTTGAGGAAACTCAAAATTGTTCACAAGTTGTGTAAATCTGTGTTAGTGAGCACTTCTTTGCCGAGATAATCCATCCACCTCACAGGTGTAGCATATCAAGATGCTGATTAGACAGCATGATTATATACAGGTGTGCCTTAGAATGACCACAATAAAAGGCCACCCTAAAATGTGCAGTTTTATCACACAGCTCAATGCCAAAGATGTATTTGATTTGGCAGTACATTCAACTGGTCTCACAACCGCAGACAACATGTAACCACACCAACCAGGACCTCAACATCCAGCATCTTCAACAGCAAGATGGGCCACCCAGACAGCTGCTGCAACAATCGGTTTGCATAACCAAAGAATTTCTGCACAAACTGTCAGAAACTGCTTGCAGCGGAGCGCTGCATTTGGATTACGCACGATTTCAAGTCTGAGCTGAGATGCTACAATCTCCGCTCCCCGTCCAGAAGAGGTGGAGCTGCGTGGGGAGTGGGGGGGATACGGTAGGCGGGGCACTTGGTTCTGTTGACAGGGTGGGGAGCTCTCCTTGAATAATGTTAGGGAACAAATGAACAAACAAGCACGCACACGCATGTACACATATATCTATACAGATATACACACGCATACATACATATACATACATGCACAGATAAGTGGCAACCCCATTTTCAAAAGGAAACTTTCTGACATATAGATGCAGCCACACAAGGAAGTAGACTTGTTGCTTATTTATTTTTCAAGTTATTCAGCTCCCAAGTTTCACATACTGTATATCTGGCAGCGGCCATCTTGGATTTTGACTTGGCAAACCAACTTTTGAAAGGAACTCTTACTTACACCTAGAGGCAGCCATACACCAAAATGGAGGTTGGTACCTCACTTATTTGTAAAGCTATTGCGCTCACAGACAAATGGACAGATAGTATTTCCAACTTGCATGTTTTGTTCTGTGATGGACAATAAAGACTACAAAAAAAAAGGCATAAAACCTGTTGAATACATGCTACTGACCAGTAACTAGCATGATCACTAACTGAAGCCAAACCACTGAAATCTCTCAACAAGCAGATTAAAAGTTATTTCAAAGTATTTTTCATCTCCATGTGACTTCATAATTAAATGTTTCATGAGCTGATAAATGGCTCAATAGGATTAAACTGTATAAATAAAGGTTGAATGAATAGATGCAAGTGGATGATTGCGTCATTGCATTAAATGTGCTATAATTTGCTGCGTGATAAAACAGGAAAAGAGAACTCGTTGTATAGGACACTTCTTCCTGCATCACTCATATCCTGTATGATCTGATGCCTCTGTGCACACCTGTTCAGGTAGTATATTACTCACCAACCACTGCCAGCTCATGGTTGGACCTTCAAAGCCCATCTGTCTGTCAGACAACAAAGAACATTACTCATACTAGATCTAGTTAATATTTCATGTAAGAAATGCACCAACGCCCAGCAAACACAATAAAACCTAAAATGTGATTATAAATGTTCTCCTCAAGGTACAAAAGTACAATAAACTAACCAGAAAATAATCAGGACCTACAGTAATATCTAAAACTCAGCCAGTCTTACACATAGAGCTAAAATCTGATGTGTTAGTAGCTGAGAGTCATACCCAACAAACACTCTGAGCACCGAAATATTGCAAGAAATCTCACAATCTTGTGATTGTGCTCATCTTAAAACACCCACATAAACTTGGTGCGTGATTTGCCTCATTTCAAGGAGTAACAGACCTTTAATTGTATGACATTATTTATACAGACTCAGTTTGTTTAGCAGCCTTTGCTCTTTGATCATGTTTATTAAGTCATCGTATTCAAATATACTGCAGATATGTCGCGTTGCACACAACAAAACCCTGTAGCATTTCATTCAAAGATGTGTAAAAACTAATGTACTTTACTGTGAAATACAATAATCAATATGTTGGCACCAAACATTCACATTTTAATAAACAAGAGTGCTGCATACGTTACATTATACGCCCCCCCCCCCCCCAAAAAAAAAAAAAAAAAAAAACATACAGCAATGGCTTGAACAAGCAAAACCTTGTATGACCTATAAGACCTTGATTTGTGACCATGACCTTGAAACCGTGATGAAATGTTTCCGCTACACTCCGTCTCATGATGATGTATGTGTGCATGAAGTTTCATTAAATGTTTGTCAGAAGATCAGAAGTTATGGGCCAGACATGAGAAAATGTTTGTAAGTGCTTACAGAGCCTATACTACAATATGTCCAGCCTCTGACGAGCGTAGAAAACAGAGGGAGGAGCTCAAAATATATTTTTTTGCTCACAGCATTTCTACCTTAGTGCATGTGAAAGAAGCTAAACTCGACTAGATGTTAAGCAGCTGAAGCAGAGAAAGGAGGTTCCAGAAGTGGTCAATTAAAAACTAAAAACAGTTAAAAATTACAACATGCACCAGCACGCTAACATTTTACTAGTATAGCTCAATATTTGAATATTGAATCTCTAACCAGAATAATCACTGTCAAAAAAATCACATCATGCTGCTGCTGATCTGTTTCATGTTGCTGCCGATCTGTTTCACGGTACTGCTGATCTGTTTCACGGTGCTGCTGATCTGTTTCACGGTGCTGCT